GTAAAGGCCAAGGGAAGAAGGGTTCCAGGAGGAGGCGCCAGGTCAGGTCAAGCTGGGCGGAGGCGCCTGGTGTGCGAGGCAGCACCTTGGTTTCGTAGGGGGAGGGGCCTAGGACAGCACAGGGAAGCACCTCAGTATGTGGGCAGGTAGTGTGTTGGGGACGCCCAGCTGATGCAGCCCTGCACACCTCCATGGGGAGGAGCTGGCCGGGGCCTCCCAGGGTGGTGGGTTGGGAGAGAAGGGCCAGCCAAAATGGCTGCCGACCCCCAAACTCCAGGTGGGATGAGCTGGAGACTCCCCAGTTAGCTGCCACCTGCTCCCCTCCTCATAGCGGGCGGCGCTGGTCCTGGTGGTCCTCCTCATCGCCGGGGGCCTCTTCATGTTCACCTACAAGTCCACGCAGTTCAACATGGAGGGCTTTGCCTTGGTGCTGGGGGCCTCGTTCATCGGTGGCATTCGCTGGACCCTCACGCAGATTCTCCTGCAGAAGGCGGATCTTGGTGAGAGCAGGCCCGGCACCAGGGGTGGAGGCCGGTGGCCAGGCTGACGGCTCACCATGTCCCCGTTCTGTAGGGCTCCAGAACCCCATCGACACCATGTTCCACCTGCAGCCACTCATGTTTCTCGGGCTCTTCCCCCTCTTTGCCATATTTGAAGGTAGGTTGGGCCGTCCACCTCGGGGCACTTCAGTACAGCAGCCCCCCAACCCCCTGTCTGAGCCCAGCTGCAGAGGACACAGAGATCAAGTGCGGCCTCCCCTGGCAGTGCCTGGTTTGTGTGTCTGAACAGACACTTAAACCAAATGGCTAGAATCCAGCATGATAAACGTTCCATAGAAAATGTATGAAACATAGTAGGCGATAATGACAGTGCACGTGTCCAGCCCGGAGGTAGGCCAGGGCTGTTCTAACCATTTTACATATATCACCTCTTTTAATACTCCCCAAACCCCATGGGGCAGTACTATTAATATCCTCATCTTGCCGATGAAAAACTGAGGCAGAGAGAAGTAGAGATAACTTTGCTTCGGGTCCCATGACTCCTAAACGAGCCTGAACTTGGATCCAGGAGCTGGCTCCAGAGTCCCTCCTCTTAACCATTCCGCTGTGTTCTGCCTCTTAGGGGGAGCGGGTCATGCGTTGTCTCAGGGTGGTAGGGTGGAAAGGCTTCCCGGACAGTGTATCTGGGAGGATGAATGGGACCTGGACAGGCTGATGGGGGGCAGGGGGGAGCATCCCAGGAAGTGGAAACAGGTTCAGAGGAATGGGGTGTGAGCTGGATTGCAGGAGTGTTTATTGGGGGCCAGGGGGTACAGGGAGTCTGGGCAGGTGAGCAGTTCCCCTCCACTGTCATCTCCCAGGGAGAAGAGCAGGGAGCATTCTCTCTGGAAGGTGTACCACATCCTCCTTCCTCTGATGTTTTGGGATTAGGCTTTGTCCCCTGTCTGTGTATCCTTCCTCCCAGAGTCCCTTCTGTCCTCAGGGTCATTACAGAAAATCCTGTCCCGCATCCACTTAAGTTGCAAGCAGTGAAGCGTCTCGAACCTCTGAGAATATTATTTGTGTCCCCGTTGTCCAGGAAACTTCCGTTGTGCAGCCTCATTTTCTCTCTCTTTTTACAATCTCTCCCTATTCCTTCATTGTGTCCCCGGTAAAAACGCCACACTCTCCCTCCCTCCCTGGGTGTTTACACCGCTCCCCATCTCTGCAAACCCTCCCCCGAAAGCCCCTGAAAGCCCCTGGCCTTCGTCACTTAGCAAAGCTGCATGGATTTAGCTCCTTTAATCTTTTCTGGTAAATTAATCCCCCAAGCGCCTTCATTACTTATGTTGCTTTCCCCGAGTCCCTTCCATTTGCCCATGCCTTTGCAGTACTGCTGAGCCCAGCACCAGGCAAGATGTCCTACATTGGAGGCTGTTTGCCTGGGGTTGGGGGGCGAGGTGGGGGGCTGTCACTCTGTGTTTCTGTGGTGCTTCCCTCCAAAAATTTCAGCGTCCTTAGCCAGCCTCCTGCCCCCGCCCCCCCCAACCCCCCCCAGGTGTGTCCTGTGCCTAGACTGGGCTCACCTCGCATCCTGTTAATACTCCCGGGGGCCTTTCCTGAAGGGAAGGACCCAAGGAATCATCCTCCCAGATGGACAGTGTTGGAGGGTCAAGAACCCTCTGAGAGTCTAAGCAAGTTCGCTGCCTGGATGCCTGTGTGGGTGTCTGGAGTGGGGGGCCGTGGCTTTTGTCGAGTATTTATATGCAGTGTGTGTTTTTTTGAGAACTGTTCATCAGATTATACCATCTGTTTGAGAAACATTGGTCTAGTCCCAACCGGTTCATTCTATTAGTGGGGAAACTGCTCCCAAAAGGGGGCGTGTCTCGGCCAATTCCCGCTGCTATGTGATAGTCAGGCCTGGATGAAGATGAGTTTTGCCCCTGTTTATAGGTGGCCCCCCTGAAATTGAGCACAGAGGACTCCCCCGCAGCCTCCCCCACCATGGCCCAGGGGCTGAAAGTCCTCACGTGATGCCTGCCCACCTCTCTTGGGCCCATTGGTTATCACAGCTGCCAAGGCCATAGGAAGTCCACCCTCACCATTCGGACGCCGATGGGAGGGAAACGCCATGTGGGAGAGCCGGGTGCTCCTGTGGGTTGTCTGTGGTGCCGTCCCCCGTACTTAGCGCAGGGGCTCCGAAGCCCTCCTACCACTCCCTGGGCTCTGGCAGCCGCCCTTGCTTCCTGGTTTACCCACGTCTCGGGCCGTCTGCCTGAGCTTCTCCCATCCTTGTTGTCTTAGGAAGTGTGCCCCGCGCCAGGGGCAGTTCTCACCCGGCTGCGGGAGGGTGAGGCCGCCCGGCAGGCACACCCAGGACATGGTCGCCCCTGTCTCCCCCATTGCTTTCAGGTCTCCATTTGTCCACATCTGAGAAAATCTTCCGTTTCCAGGACACGGGGCTGCTCCTGTGGGTACTCGGGAGCCTCTTCCTTGGCGGGATTCTTGCCTTTGGTTTGGGTTTCTCCGAGTTCCTCCTGGTTTCCAGAACCTCCAGCCTTACTCTCTCCATTGCCGGCATTTTTAAGGTACAGACTCAGGTGACCCCCGTCCTGTCTCAGAGAGGAGCCCCTGAGGGTGTTTCTCACCAGCAGCTCCTGCACCCCAGGGCCT